GAGGAAGAGGAGGGGGAGGAGGACGAGGAGGAGGAGGAGGAGGAGGAGCAGGAGGAGGAGGAGAAGGGAGGGAGGAAAGGATGTGGAGGCAAGCGAGGCGGGAGAGAGGGGGGGGAAGAAGGAAAAGAGCGTCCCAGGAGGTCCCTGGAGGTCCCACAAGGCCCCTGGAGGCCCCAGAAAGTCTCTGGAGGTTCCCCGAAGTATCCGCAAGATTCTGGACCAGAAGTTTCTTCTGGGGGCCCCCAGGGGGCCTGGGAGATCCCAAACTTCCAGAGCCCCAAAACCCCAATCATCATCCTCATGTCCTCCCCCCGCAGGTGCCCCCCCCGCTCTCGGCAGGGGCCGGCCCTGGCGGCTGCCGCTGCCTGCCTGGCCCGGTCCAGCAGCAGGCCTCGGCCGCGGGCCGGGGTGGCCTAGGATGGGGGCAGGGAAACAAGAGAGATGGAGGGGGGGACTTGGACAGGTGGGGATCGGGGGGAGGGAGAGAGGGGCACGGGGAGGCGGGGCAGCATGGGGGACGAGGGAAAATGAAGAGGAAGGGGAGGAGGAGGAGGAGGCGGAGGAGGAGGAGGAGGAGGAGGAGGAGGAAAAGGAGGAGCATGAGGGGGAAGAGGAGGAGGGGGAGGAGGATAAGGACAAGTAGGATTAGGAGGTGGAGGAGGAGGAGGAGGAAGAGGAGGAGAAGGAGCAGGAGGAGGAAGGGGGCGCGAAATAGTTCTAAAGCCGTCCACCCATGGCTCTGGAAAGTCGCTTATGGAAGCTGAAACTGTCCCCACCATCCTCCTTGTCCTCATCCTCATCCTTATCCTCATCCTCATCCTGCCGATGTACGTGCAACTACCCCTAAAAGCAGCAAGGTCGAGAGATGCGCACGCATGCTTGTTCATGCCCTCCCAACCCCATGATGTGATATCATCATCCCACCTCCATCAATATCCCAATCATATCTTGCGCCCTTAGCGCCTGGCACTGCGAAGCAGAGGAATCACATTCTTCAAAATGGCTTGCACCACAGTGATAGTCATTGCATTGCCAGCCAAGACACCTTTCTGGGTGCGGCTGAGCATCGAAAAATCAAATTCTTTATCACTCGAACCCTGCAACCGGATGATCGACGAAATCGAAAGGAACCTCATCTGCTTCACATTGAAGTATGAGCGTGCGCTGCTGGCGTGAGATGCTGTGATGGTCGGGCACTCTCCAATCCTGTAGCTGTTCGTGCGGCCGGAGGCGGCGTCCACGATGACATGGGTTCTAGTGATGTCTGGGCCATCCGGGTCATTGCAGATCTCCTTGATGCATGCCCGGATTCGTTTCCCTGCCGACTTGCATACTTTGAGCTCCACCCCGCTGTCAAGGAAAGTAGATATCGGCGGCATCTTGACCTCGTCTGGCCACTCGAAAGAGCCAGGTACATCATTGCGTACACATACAAAATATACGCGGGACCTGGACTGACAAACTCCATAGTTCTTGCTGTTCAGAATTTTGTGATGGACCTTGTAGCCGGCATTCTTGAGAACACGGAACAACATGTCACGAACATCCGAAAACGATTCATTCTTCATGAAGGCGGCAACGTTTTCAAGCATGACCACTTTCGGCCGGTTCTTCTTGACATACGCGAGGATCTCACCGAGCACGTCTGCGCGCTCGTCGTTGGACCCCTGATGACGCCCCTCCATTGAATAGGGCTGGCAAGGGAAGCCAGCTGAGAAAATGTCACAGGTCGGGGCGGTCGTGCGGAACTCCCGGGAGTAGATGTCATCGAACCACATGCCGATGTCAAAGTTGCTCTCGCAGAAGAGCCTGGACGCCTTGGCCTTGTCACAGCCAAAGAGGTGCGTGCACGGCTCCTGTAAGTTGCGCAGCGCCTGGGCCTCTGCAGCCCACCCGGTGCAGACGCTGCCGACAGTCAGGGGTCGCACCGATGATGACGAACCAGCCTGGGGCACCGTCTTCTTGATGGTCTTCTGAGTCCGAGGAGCGGCAGCTGGCCTCTTGAACTTAGACGCCGTGGGCGGCATGGCGGAGTGCCCAGGTGAGTGCCTGGCGGAGTGCCCAGGTGAGGTTCCAGCAAGACTTTGAGCCCAACCAGCTACGGCTGTGTGGTGCCGTTTGTGACCAGGGGATCTGTTATGAGCTCTCCCGAACAAAAACACTCTTCTCCTATCTCTTCCAACAAGTCCCGGGAGCGGCGAGGTGCAGATGATGAGGGTGAAGAATTTACTTTACATCAGAGCGATGGGGGAGGGGCAGGGGAGTATGTGGAGGTGGAGAAGGAGAAGGAGGATGATGAGCAGCAGGATGTGAAAGGATAGTTGGTTGAGGACCTTGGATGTTTAGAGCTACTTTCACTGTTCGGGGTTTGTTCCGCTCCTAAGTTGTTGGGTGGGCCCCCAGGGGTCTCGCCAGCGAGGCGCCAGACAGGGCCCAGGGTCTGTTGACTTACGTCATGCATCTTGAGCATCGTCGCTTACACCGCATATGTCGCAGCACATAACTCACGCCAAACAGCATGCGCATCATACCTTGCAGCTCGTACCACGTAGCCTTCACGACGTGGAGCGCACCAAGATACACCTCCTGCACCACATCCTGCATTAAGGCATTACTGTTTGGGTTCCACGTTGGACCGAGCCCTCTGGGACGTTGAGGCGTGTTGGAATGCTTTCTGGCCATGCACTCCCCCCTCGCCATGAAGCTCATTGGGTATTCCGACGCCTCTGGCGTTGTCCAATGTGTCCAAGATGCCCAGGCAAGCCTCCAAGGCCGCCAACATCAGCCAAGAGGCCTCCACAACAGCCTCAGGTGGCCCCCGAATTGCCCAATGCGGCCCCGAGGCGGCCCACGAGGCTTCCAAGATGGCCGAAGAGGGCTCCAAGAAAACTCTTTTTTTTCAAAGGGGATCCGCAGGCTTGTAGTTTCGAGCTCCCTGCAGCTCAAGAGAGCCCAACGAGCTCCCAAGACAACCTCAAGACGGCCCAGGAGGGCTCCAAGAGGGAAGAATAGGGCCCCGAGAAGGCCCAAAGAGGGGCCCCAAGAACTCGAGAGGCCTACGCAGGCCACTGGATCAAGGAGGCTGGACAAGAGGGGTGGCTGGGCGAGCCCCAGGCCGCCCGCTGCTGCTGGCCTGCGCCATTGCCTGGCAGGCGGCGCCGCCTTCCTCTTTCCTTCCTTTTCTCCTTCCTTCCTCATTCCTTCCATTCTCTCGGCCAAGCACCGATGGGCGGTCCTCCCTTGTCATCATTCAGTCCAAACCTCATCGCCCTCCTCCTCCCTCCTATCACCATACTTGCCCTCGTCCTCCTGCCTCCTGCCTCCTCCCCCTCGTTATCATCATTCTCCTTGCGCCCCTTCACCACGGGGTTGCAATCCAACCGTGCGTACATTTTAACACTCCTACGTTGATATGTCTTGGGGGGTGCGACCAAGACGATCTTGAAAAAAAACGGCGCCGGCACAGCACGGGGCGCTCGACGCTCGACAGCCAAACGTTGTTAAACAGCTAGTCCCTGGCCAACGCCAGGCCAACGCTTGGGCCACGGCCGAGCACCGATCGTCGAGCTGGCAGCAAGAAGCGCGTGCGCCGCCAGTGCCTAGGCGAGCTCTAAACGCACCCCTGGTCCGAGAGTTCGCACGACAACTCAGCCGCCGCCATCGCAATAACATCAAACCTCACATCATGACCTGATATGTCTCTATGCTTGTGCGGTATGAGTTCTATTGCTAGGCGGTGGCGTCGACCAGAGCCCGTAAGGGCCTGATAAACACGTCATCGCATCCTACCTAGAGTGTCAGACCAGGGGTTCACTCCTCACTCTCCCCCTCACTCGTACCATCACACTTGCCCTCGGCATCCTGCCTCCTGCTTTCCTCCTCATTATCATCGTCTTCCTCGCGCCCCTTCACCACGAGATCACAATCCAATGGCGCATCCACTTGAACATTCCTACATTTGCTATGTCGCGAGGAGTGCGACCGAGACGACTGGCAAAAAACAGCGCCAGCACAACGCGGGCGGGGCGCCCGAGCTCAAAACTCGACAGCCAAACGTTGTTAAACAGCTAGTCCCTGGCCAACGCCAGGCCAACGCTACGGCGGAGCGCCGAATGTCAAACTGCAGACAAGCCTGACATGGCCACGCAAGTGGCTGTCGATTCCTTCCCCACTGGCAGCAAGAAGCGCGTGCGCCACCAGTGCCACAGCGAGGTTTAAACGCATCCCTGGTCCGAGACTTTGCGTGACAACTCAGCCACCGCCATCGCAATAACATCAAACCTCAAATCATGATCTGACATGTCTCTATGCTTTTGTGGTATGAGTTTTATTGCTAGGCATTGGCGTCGTCATCGCATCACACCTAGAGTGTCAGACCCGGGGCTCACTCATCCTCCTCATCTCCGTCCTCGTCGGATGCCCCGCCGCCGAGCTCCTGCAAACGGTTCAAGAGGGACTGGCGAGTGCCACTCTTCGTGCCCGTGGGTTTGGCTGCGGCCGGCCTCCTCTTGAGCACCGCCGGGGGCTCGACGTCTTCGCCATCGTCATCTTCCTCTCCGTTGTTGCCAACCTCCTCCTCATCCTCGGGCCCATCCTTATCACCATTGTTGCTGTCGCCGGACACGAGCTTGGCAGCTCTGGGGACGAACATGCTGTCGGACTCGTCAGTGAATTTCTGGAATATGCGGTGCGACAAGCACTGGTTGAGCAAAGTGGCGTGGGCTTCGGTATAGCAGATGGCCATGTACGGTATGCCAGCCTCAATGCAAGACACTGCCCATTCTGGGCTCACCGGGGTCATGTCAATAACCGCTTTACAAGGGTCCGCAAGTGCGTTGCACAGAAGTGAATTGGCATTTTTTCTTTCCCTAGGCTCCATCTAGAAGGGTTCTTACTCTCTGGGCTTAAAGGGGCCGGGGAGTGGAAAGCGCCCCGGGCGGTTCCCCCAGTGTCCGCCCCGCGGTTCCCCCGGCTACGTCCCCTTAGCTTTAGCTTTACCATTAGCTTTAGCTTTAGCTTTAATTTTAGCTTTAGCTTTAGCTTTAGCTTAGATTTAGCTTAGCTTTAGTTTAACTTTAGCTCAGTTTTAGCTTAGTGCTAGCTTAACGTTAGCAGAGCTGTAACTTAGCTTTATCTTAAATTTAGCTTAGCTTTAGCTTAACGTTAGCTTAGCTTTAGCTTAGCTTTAGCTTAGCTTTAGCTTAGAATTAGCTTAGCTGTAGCTTAGCTTTAGCTTAGCTTCAGTTCAGCTTTAGCTTAGCGTAAGCTTAGCGTAAGCTTAGAGTAAGCTTAGCTGTAGCTTAGCTGTAGCTTAGCTGTAACTTAGCTTTAGCTTAGCTTTAGCTTAGCTTTAGCTTAGCTCTAACTTAGCTTTAGCTTAGATTTAGGTTCGCTTTAGCTTAGCTTTCGCTTAGTTT